TGGGCTCGTAAAGTTTGTGACCCATGTGAGTATTCCCCCCACCAAAGTGTTGCCTATGGAAAATAGTGATATCCATCAATCTGAATGAGGACTAATGAATAATGGGCTGGGATTTTTTGCATTCACGTTTGGTATTGGGTTGTTTTTTTTTTTTTTTTCCTCTCTATTAGTCACAATGGGAAATACAAGAAATTCTGTGCTAAGTGAATAGAACTAATGGTAGCATAGTAGCTGTCAGGCAGCTCATTTTGCCATTAAGCAGGGCTGTATTTTCAATTTAGAGCCGTGTGTCTTGTTTCCTGAGTGATTTTTTTTTTCTCATCCATTGGGTTAACAAAAGTTAACATGCAAAACTAAAAGCATTATTAGCACGTGGACGTATTCCTCTAAACGTGTCAGGGGTTTACAGCATTTTCCAGTACCTGCATGAATTCTGCTTTCAYCAAAGCAGTAGCTGTGTACGTATCACAAATGGGAAGCTACCTGCACAAGAACTGTGTAAAATCGGATTGTGCAGCTACAGCTGCAGCTGCTCTCCGGGGTTGCAGTGGAGCTGTGTGAGTTGCATGCGTGGTGTTTGACATCAGCAGCGAGCTCAGCTGCTCCCCAGTTGAGTGCCAGGTTATCTGCACAGTGCCCCGTGTGTTTGGGGAGCTGCCCTTCGTGCCGGAGGAGCCTGCAGGCTGGATAGCATCTGCTGCTCATTCCTGCCTGGGGATGGCCAGAGGGCTGAAATGTCACCAGGTCACCACACTGCGCTTCCAGGCAAGGAGAAATCAATTTGCTGATCTGTTTGACCCGAGCCTGTGAATGCCGAAGATCGATTGGGATGATGATGGACTTGGGAGATCAAGTGAGGAAGGTGTTGGCTTTGCCCAGGGCAGCGTGCACATGTTGATGCAGGCAGTGCTGAACACACCCAACATGGGTTGCTCCAGTCATCAATACCTCTTACAAATCATGTTTTCAGTTGAATCAGTTTTGTAGTTGACCACTAGAGATTATTATTGTTTTCCTTGACAAATTGATGGGGGAAAATAATCTTTAAGAAGGATATGCACATGCTTGATAAATAGTACACACCAGCAGAAGTGCAAGTTTCCTGTGGTCTCTGAATTCCCTGGGGATAAAATACCAGTGGAATCAAATGTCTACACCCGTTGAGTCGTATGTAAACTCTTCGTAGTATGGACTAGAAATAGAGGAGATGGAGGATATGTTGCTATTAGCACTAAGCCAGATGAATAATTCTTTTGAAGGTCTGGAATATCAGTGATCCAATTGAAAATGTATCAGCTGAGATGAGTCATGTGTTAGCCTCATTCAGTGACTAAGAAATGGAACAGCCATCGATGTCCAAGCTGAGTCACAGCTTCTGCATATTTTCTGAAACAATTTTTGATTGATAGTGATGAAGCAGTTGAAATTCC